AAAAAAAAAAAAAAAAAGGAGAATCTGAACAAATACTGTCTGAATTAAGCATGGTGATGTTCTGTGGGTTTCCCAAGTTTCCAAATTGATAAACTGAAAACGAGAGTTTCCAGTCATTAGCTCACCTTGCTGTGACAACTGTGCATCTTGTAAGGGACCTGAAGTACTGGACTTCTGTTGTTGTTGTTGTTGTTATGAGCCATCGAGTTGGACCCGACTCATAGAGACCCCTCCTTGGGTTTCCGAGGCAGTATCACTGGACATCTAGGGGGTTTCTAAATGTACACCCCGGTGGGTGGGGTGGAATGGGGTACGGGGCGGGGAGGGGGGAGATGAATCTGAGCCCAGCCTAGCCCCTTCCCCCACCGTGTTTTCCTTGTCTTTGGTTTTGTTTCTGTTATTGGTTCTGGGGCTGGGCTTGGGAAAAGGAAACTGAAACTGAATGTGAATGCTACCTCAGACTGGCTCCTCCCAGCTGACGACATCTGTGACGTGGCTGTTTGGAGCCCATAAAAAGGATGTAGGGCCAAGGGGAGAAGTGGGTGTCAAGAGAAAGTCAACTCTGCTGTGACCGTGGAGCAGCTAGCAACAGAACCTACAGCCATGGTGAGGCGGGTTTGAAGGTGGGAGGCAGGTACCACCAGCTGCTTCTCTGACCCTTGCCCCACTGAAGTATTCTCAGGGGATGGGCACCTGCTGGGTGAGAGATGCTCCCCAATGTGAGGAGGGACCGGGCTCCTGGTGAAGCCAGGATTTGGGTCTTGGAAGGGGGTTCACCCCAGTTGTGAACCCTGGATTCCCTATGAGTGGAGCACAGAGTGGGGCATCTTAGCAAGGGAGGGGGCAGGATGGCAGGGGGGCTGGCCCTCCTTCTAGCAGTGCCTCCTTTCCACTGCTCCCACCCCTGGGGTCCCTCACCTGGTGGGTGAGGAGGACTGAGAAGAGGGGCAGGGGTCCTGGGCCTTAGGAGCTTGCCCTGTGCGCACACCAAGTGCATAGTGGCCTCCAGGACGGGTGCCTTGTTCCTGAGCCACTTGATGCCACACAGGGTCGAGACCTGAAGGTGAAAATGCTGAATGGCGAGGAGATTTTGGTGCCCATGAGGGACTCCATGCTGGTGTCAGAGCTGAAGCAGCTGGTTGCGAAGCAGATAAAAGTGCCTGCCTTCCAGCAGCGGCTAGCCCACCCAAACAACTGGGTGCTGCAGGACGACCAGTCTCTGGCCAGCCAGGGCCTGGTCCCTGGCAGCACAGTCCTGCTGTTGGTGGAGATGTGCAAGCCCCTGAGCATCCTGGTGTGCAATGACAAGGGCAGGAGCAGAGCCTACACAGTCCAGCTGACTGACACTGTGGCCCAGCTCAAGCAGCAGGTGTGCCAGCAGGAGAAGGTGCAGCAGGACCTCGTGTGGCTGTCCTTCGAGGGGAGACCTCTGGAGGACCACCAGCAGCTGGGGGAGTATGGCCTCACTTCCCAGTGCACGGTGTTCATGAATCTTCGGCTTCGGGGTGGCAAGACAAGCCCCAGGGGGCGCTGAGGTTCCTGCCCTCCTGAGGTACCTGGAGAAGGAGCTGCTCAGAGCTGGCCCTCTGACACATGCAGGCTTCAAGTGCTAGTGATAAATTAAAAATTGATGCAAAGCGAACTGTTGGCCTCCTGCTCTGTCCTTGCCCCTGTGTCTGTTTCCCCATCCTCCCCATCACTGATGGGAAAGGACAGGAGGGAGTGTGGGAGGACACTCAGGGTTGCTGGGAGTGACCAGGCCAGGATTGTCAACAGGGTCCCAAGTTAAGGGACAAGGGATTCATACCCAGAGCCTGGAGGGCTTAAAATAATGAAGACGTTGAAGTAGGACGTCCCCTATACCATTTGGGAAATTATTATCTAGAGAAACAAAAGAAAGAACATTTGTTGGTGTCCATGCCGGGGGGGGGGGGGGGGTGTTCTCCAGACTTGCACAGCTGACCCCCACCTGAAAGGTGTGTTTGTGTGGGGTCCCTGGGGCCTGCCTGGGTGCTTGTGAGGGAGGCAGATCCACACCAGCTGGGGCTGGGGGTCTCTTGGCACTCCAGAACTGACCAAGCTGCAGTGGTCTGGGGAAAGGTCTGGATGGGGGCTTGATCAGGGCCCGATGGACCCAGTATCTCCCTCCAGGGCAGCTTCAGAATCACTGGGTAGTGGAGAGGCCATGGTCAGAGGGCAGGGAGCATTGGAGGAGGGGCAACCATGGAGGAGGGACACAGGGGAGCTTGTCCCAGACTGGGGGGCACTGGAATGGAGACGCTCCCATGGTCCAGGGATATATGCTTGTCCTACGCTGGGGGATACTAGAAGAGAGAACTCTTATGTCTAGGGGGATGAGCTTGTCTTGCATGGGGAACACTGGAATGGGAAGCTTCCACAATCCAAAGGGACAAGTTTGTTCCAGGTTTTGGGGCAATGGAATGTAGAGCTCCCATGATCAGGGGTATGTATAAGTTTGTACCAGATGGTAGTTCAGTGGTTAAGTACTTGGCTGCTAACCAAAACATCAGCTGTTCGAACCCACCAGCCACTTTTTGGGAGAAAGTTGTGGCAATCTGCTTCTGTAAAGATTTGCAGCCTTGGAAATGCTATGGGGCAGTTCTACTCTATCTTACAGGCCTCTATGAATTAGAATAGACTTAACAGCAATGGGTTTGTTTTTTTCAAATGGGAGTTTCTATGGTCCAGGGGTATGAGATTATTCCAGAGTGGCAAGCACTAGAATGGGGCGTTCCCACAGTCTAGGGAAATGAACTTCTCCTAGACAGAGGGTCACCTAAACCAGTCCTCCTTTCAGGATACTTGTTCTGCCTTTCCCTTCTGTACCGATTTCCCAGAAGAGGCCCAGTGAGCCTGGCTGTTGGCCTTGGCCTCTGTTAAGATGTGGAGGTTGGAGAGGGGTGGGCAGAGCACAGCAGGATAGAAACCTCTTTGGGCCAGAGTCCATGGCCCTGGGAAACGGCGAGCTCTCAGCCCCCAAAACCTGAGAGGGATTTGACTGGAGACCCAGATACCCACTTTCTGGTCTAGAAGTCTATATCTGGGCCAAGGGATACCTACCTGACTATGCCCCAAAGGCATGTGGGTGCATAGGGGGTGATCTCCTGACTCTAGCCTTGTTTCCTGACACCCCCCCACATACACTTTCATGTGCTGCAGCTCAGCACAGATCTGTGCCTGTGGAACTACTGCTGTGAGTGTGAGCACAGACCTTGGGCACCACTTTCCTTTCCTGAGCTCCTCATCAGGGTTGGTGCCAGGATGCGGTCCCTTCTACCCACTCACCTTTCTCACCTTTCTGAGATCTGTGGCTGGCTTGGGTGAGGGGTGCACAGCAGACCCTGCCCTAGGGCATAAAAGGAGTCTTCTCTCCCACCCTTCATATATCCAGCTAGTTCATTCTCTAATTTGGACACTTTGGGCCTCAGTTTACCTCTAGCCAGGACCTCTGGTAGCGTAGTGCCTAAGGCATTTGACTGCTAAACCAGAAGTCTGGCGGTTCAAACCCATCAGCCACTCCTCGGAAGGAAGATTGGGCAGTCTACATCCGTAGTGATACCGTCTCAGAAACCCAAGGAGGAGTCGATATGAGAGTTTGGCTTTTTTGAGGCGAAGCTGGAGAACGGGGCTGGACAGGGGGCGTGGCTGGCCGGGCTGGAAGAGCGCTTGCAGCCGCAGGACAGCTGGAGGCGCCCTCAGCTCTGCAGTGGGCCTTGGCGAGCCGGGGCAGAGGTGGGCGGGATGCGCTGCGTCCTGGCGAATCACCGCAGCCATAGCCCGCATTGGTTCCCGCCAGCCGGGGGGCGCGGCCTGCTGGGGCACTCTCTACGCCCAGACGGGCAGGGGCCGGGGCCGGGGCCCCGTGGTCTCGTCCAGACCTGTTTCCCGTTATAGAGTAGGGGTTGGGATCCCCCGGCAGGCTCCCCCTGCTGGTCAGGGGCGCGGGGCAAGTCTGGCAGCAGTCCACCCCCCGCGGCCAGGCAGCCCGGCAGCTCCCAGTCCCGGTGCCGCCCCGAGCCCCTTGTAAGTCCCATCACGTCGCCTCCAGATTAGGCATTAACCCGATTCCAGCCGCATTTCCTTGCGGGGGGGGAGGGAGGACGGGCCCGCGCGGGGGAAGGGCGGCCGCGGGAGACGCCGCAGCCCAGCGAGCCCCGGCCCCCGCCCAGCACCGTGGTCCCGGCGCTTTGTTCGCTGCCGGCGCGGGT